GTTTCCGAGTTATGCTCTTGCTTAGGAAACATTCGTAAAAAATCCCAAAATATCAAAAGGCACCAGCTTAACACTGGTGAAATATTAGACGGTTTTCAAGATCTGTGCCTAGTTTGGTGATTTTCAGTGTAAGTCAAACTCGAAAAATCGTTTTTAAATCCCAAAGTATCAAAAGGCATCAGTTTTCTACTGGACCTATTTGTGTGCCAAGTTTGGTGAAGAAGAAATATTGTACGGTTTTCAAGATCTGCCCCGGAAACTATCTATGTGCCAAGTTTGGTTAAGATATATTTCATGGTGTTATTGTTCTCCTCCGGAAAAGAAACTTGACGGAAGGAAGGAAGGACGGACGGCACCCACTCCTTTATCCTATAATAAAGAGGGCTGTGAATGATCGCAGGAGGTTATTTGTATGAAAATGAGTATTTATAGTTCTACCCCATCCATCAGAGAACCCATGTGTTACGACACCCAGTTACTGGGTACTTACCTGTTTACTGTAACGGGCTAGTCCAATCTAGCTAGCCTGATCAGAACTACAAATTAGGATTTTTGCCCAGTGAAAAGGGATTTATAACGGTAACGGAGCTAACTATAAGCTCTCTGAGAAAGAGAATTACAGTGCATACGACTGGACATTATGGGGGATAGCTTTGAGATGGGTGTAGTGAAGAAGTTTGCGTTTATACATTTTGCAAAGTGTTGCGGCAACAGATTGTGAACATAGATCCTTAATCATAACATAGGAAAGTTGAACTAGAGGCTACATCGAGAGAAAAGCTGGTTCAAACTGGGAAAAATTAGATACTGTAAAATTTGACAAATAGATCATATCTGGAATCCGAATTAAATGGGCAAATGACTAAAAAGTGACATTCATCTTCAACAACGTTAAAATTAAAATGATTACATAAACTAGAGGGGCTGTGGGCGGTTATAACGGTCAGGTTCAGATTCAAGAGGAAGGGTACAACATCCAAACATTGCTAAAATACTGCGGTTTTCCCTCGAGAAAATATGTTTTACATCTTTTTCAATGAAAGATACTTTTTGTAAAAGACAATAGGTGCGCAGTTTGTTACCATTGGGCTTACCATTGTCTTACCATGGCATTGGTGCCAACAGTTATCATACCATTTATTAGGGTCCCTTCGTTACAATTCATCATTTATACATGTTTGTGACATCAATATCAACGCGTGCAAATACAGCTGTGACACGTTTCACCAAAGAATTAGAAAATGTGGTAGATCACATCAAAAGATTACATAAACATTTACGTTTTGGAGACAGGAATTGTACGCCAAAAGCCCACAATTTCAACTCGCTGTTTATAGAAACACGAAGATCATCCCATGTCCCCTCTAGTGACCAAATAAAATCTACAGGCTCTTTTGTGCACTGTGTTGAGACAGCTGTACTCTCGAGTACCCCATATTGCCGCACCGTAACACAGAACTGGCTGTACAAGACTAGCGTTCAGCTTTTGAAAAACACTGTGGGGTATACTTTAAGATTTTACAATTATCGATGATAAAACCCGACTAGCAGATTTAGCAATTTCGTTTGCTGTACAATTCATGTCAAGATATCCATTAAGCCACAAATTAATAGTACATAGTAGGTATTTGTACATAGGAGAAAATTCTAAAGTTGTGCCTGACCAGGTAAGCATAGAAGACAAAGAACAGTTATCATTTCTGAAATGGACAATTTTAGTTTTGTTGAAATTCACACACAGTTTCCATCGAGTAAACAATTTAACATATTTTGTAGAGACTGCACATCAGGTACGATTAACGCTTTATCGTCTGTAAACAATAACATACTCAACATTTGCTTATTGACTTCAACACCACATTTTAGATTGTTGATTTCCCAAACAAGGTGATTTATAAAAATAGAAAACAGTGTGGGTGACATTCCCCAGCCTTGTTTCACTTCGGAAGTTACACTTAAACGTTCGGTTAAGTGACCATTCACAGATACTCTGCTTGCATGTGATTTTACACAGTCTAAAACACGCTCCTTGACAACAAGATTTTAAAATTTCAACCACAAAGATTCATAGTTTAACCTATTGAATGTTTTTTCTTGCATCAATAAAGCTGACAAATGTAGACTTTTGTGTTGTTTCCTGTTGTTTATGATTGAATAAAGGCTGTAAATATGTTCAACAGTACTTCTTTTTTTTGCGGAAACCATTTTGCTCATCTGCAAGCAGTTGATTATTTTCGAGCCACAAGTTCAGACGAATATTTCAAAACATTTAAAAACAAGGTATTGATAAAATCGTGATGTCCCTATTGTTAGAAGGATCATGGCTATCTGCTTCAGGTATAGGAGATATCATGCCTTCTTTTCTCATGTTAGGAATTGTGCCATTATCAACACAAAACGAAAACGATACCAGCTGCCTTTCACGCTTTTGCTCTGTCAGCTGCATGCACTACCTATTTCCTGGAGATGGGAGATTTAAGTTTTAACGCATCAATATCATGACCGACTAAACCAGAGGCGCGTAGCCCATTGTTACAAATATTATCACTACAGTGAGAACAGTCACCATTGTATAATGTTTCAAATAAGCATATTTCCAAAAAATTAGGACAGTAGTCTGATCGTAGTGAATTGCGTCATCTTTGTTAACTTCTCATGGGGTAGTATGGGTATGATCGTTGGATATGCAGATTTTGCAATTACTTTCCAAAAGTCTCTTGTCGAATTTGAGTCATACACGGAAAGCAGGTTGCATTGCTTGTCTAGCTGATGTCGTTTGTCAAAAGTCCTTTCAAATTCGCTTTTTGTTTCTTGTCGGTTTTACGGTTAAGATTCTTACATTGCTTGAAATTGTCCAGCTGGGATTGCAATTCAGAACACTAGTACGCTTTTGTAAATGATCTGGAAGAACTGTCCCCTTTACCTCTTTTGCGAGGAACACACTTATCTAGTTCCGATTGTAAAAAACTACAAAGTCATTATAAGCACTACGATTAGCTTCTAGGGACTGTTCAATACGATTGGTTGTCTGAAGCAGTTCATCAGTTAAATCACCGCTACGGAGAAAAGAGGAAGGAAGTTTATCACATATGTACTTGCCAAGCGTACTATTGCTGAAGCTGACATCTTCCACTTGAACAATTGTTCGAGTGGACATAGTCCACACTGGGGCGGAATGATCTGGTACCCAGGTAAGTGTTTAGGCACCTGATACCATGGAACGACATTGGTACAACGCTCAAGTCAGTGAAAAGGGGGAGGTCAGTGTGAGGTGTAACGACATTGTCGTAAAGCTCAAAGTAAAACATTATTTCAGTTTAAACAAATTTGTTAACTATTCTTTTCACACCTACATTTGAGACTTCCAAATAGAGGATTTAACAAAACAATAATTTACCAATTCATATTGAGTTCTTAACATTAAAGATATGACCCCTACATTATCGAAACAGCACCGAACTCTTGCCTTGCATTAGGATGACAGGATTGCAACAAGTGGAATATGTTAGATCATGTAAAGGAACACCACAGGAATACGTCCAGGGTTATCTCTTAAACCACAATAAGATCAGCCAAACTTGCACGCATTTGAGGTGTACAGAAGAAGCTGGAAGAGTATGACATCCCCACTTGTGGCTTAAGGGCAAATGAAATACCGAAAATACCAACATGTATGTCATATACTGGTATATAGCTACATCGTTGTGGACTGTGGATGTAAGATACAACCAAAGACTTCACAGGTTGAACTGGGGAAGTTTACAATGCCTGATGGCATCCCACATTGTACATATATTTTGAACATCCTCACATGACCATTTCTCACACAATACCACGACACCAGTGTCTTGTATTATTATTAATGTCGCTTGTGTTGCTGGATTTTCTGGTTTGTTAACAGGACGACGTGGCATGAGTGCTGCTATGCGGTGTCAGGCAATAAATACTTACTTCTAATGCACATTGCATGAATGGCTGGTGCTACCGGTAGGACAGGACATGCTTTCCGCAAACACCTGGTGTCATAACTGATTCAAAGTGGTCCATTCATATCATTTTCACAGCTAGTTTACCCTTTACACCTAATGGAATTTGTTTCGACTGATAATCAAGGCTGGTCATTTTCTTGCATTGACAATTTAAATTTACTTGACCTGGGTCTATGTTTATGCTGGTGAACTGAAGTCCCCGAGTTTCATCGTAAGCTCAGGAGCATTTATCTATGCTGAGTCAACTACAAGAGAAATGATTTGGCCCAGACTTTAAAACTACACCCCCAGTGTGTTGCAGAATATTTCTTTACTTATTAGCAGCAAAATCTCAGCACTCGTACACAGCCGACGTAATTCAGAACTAGCATACCCTTTTGCGAACACCTGGTGTCATCACTGATTTTCAGCGGTCCAGTATGATTTTCACAGCAATTTTGTCCTTTACGCAAAATACAATCTGTTTCGACGGATAACCTAGACTGGTTATTCTTTGCATTGACAATTTATTGCATTTAAAAATTGAATGTTATAATGTATATGTAATGTAAACACTTAACTGTTCATATTGTTTATTATTGTCAAGTTAGACAAGTAAGTACATTGTATGTGTGCATATCTAGATACACATATACGTATTCTCCTGAGATATCATTATGAGCATGACTATTTTCAAGCAGGTGTTTATTATTATATTCTACATGTACATACACTTTTTTTTTAAACATAACGTGGACGAGAGCAATGTTTCAACAGGGGGTGTTTAGTTTGCAAATATATAACGTGATCTCGCGAGAGCGATACTTCAATCAGCGAGTGATTGCGTTCGAGTCCGCCAGGGTAACTTGTTTACTGGTAAGTAATGTTCTGTGTGATTGTCCATGTAAAGAGTGGTTAGGTTGCTAGGGAAAGGGTCGTTAGACTTGAGCCTGGTTCAGAGTGCTGCTGTGTGCGAGGTTACATGTCTGTAATTTAATATAACCTAGTAAACAACATTGAAGAAAGACATCGTTGTGTCATCACTGCTTTATTCCGATCTAACATATGGAAACCAATACATTTATTAATGATCTTAATGAACTTAGATACAAAAATACATAATATTAATCACACAGATATATTACAAAAATACTTAAAAATGGATAATCAACATTCATCTAGATTTCATCGTTATGTTTCATCAAGGAAGCAAAGAGTTAAATCTAGATTTCATCTTTTCCATTCGATGAAGTCCGTCTTTTGCCGATGTTATCTTCACGTTGTCGAAATCGGCCTGTCCATATCCTCTTGTCCCCAAACCAACAAACCCAGCTCTTATTCCAGATGGAATTGATACATCACGGAATAAAGGTTTTCCGTTAACAGTGACGGTAGCCGCTAGACCCTGGTAGAAATAAACAAACTCATGTCGATACAAATGAAAACCGAAATACCGCTAATGTCATGTACCGTGTTTGTTGTCCATTGCCACAGTCAGCAATATCCCAGCTGTTCCAAGGTGGCCTGTACATAATCGAGAACAGACAAACCACAGCTTGAGCAACGTCACTCGCCATTGCGTGAGTGAGTGAGTGAGTATGGTTTTACGCAGCTTTTAGCAATATTCCGGCAATATCATGGCGGGGGACACCAGAAATGGGCTTCACACATTGTATCCATGTGGAGAATCAAACATGGGCCTTCGGCGTGCCGTGAGACCGCTTAAACCACTGTCTACTCCACCGCCACTCCATTCGCCGTTGAGGTACGAAGGACCTCTTTTAATCCGGGTCTTCACGGAGTTAAAGCATAATGTAACAGTGACATGTAAATACCTGTGATTTCATTCCAGGCTCCCTACACGTAACTACATAGTGTAGGGGATGCATGTAACTGAATAAAAGAAAGTTTGTCAAGAACATTTCCACAATAATTGTTTTAAAATTTAAGCCAATGTGACCAAGAGTGATTCGTATTGGTGAGAAATATCACAGGAAGCCAGAATTTGACATATTACACCCAAAACGGGAATCGAATCCCTACTTACTCAATCAATTAGTGTTTAAGGGTCACTGCTCATGATTAGTGATAAGTTGTCAGTTTTGAATCAAATACATACCATACCACACACAACTTTAAACAAATGTTGAGAATATTTTGTCACTACGAAAGTTGACAAATGTTGGGATGATGAGAGTATTCACCTTCACGAGGAGCGAGGCAGTGTTCCATCCCGCAGCATATGTGAAGTTGCCCTCGGTTATGACCTGACTGAAAACTGAAGAAACAAGCGAGCATTAAATTATTTTCTCATCTCATATATGCGAAGTTGCCCTAACTAATAATTTGACACAATGAAGCGCGCCTTAAATCATCGGCTGATCTCAACGAAAAACAGTTGTTCTCAGGGATGATCTGAACAAGTCGGCGTTTAATGATATTAACTTATGTCTTAAAGTGGCCATTACAAGCACATTTATAATGAAACCTTTCGTCACACTGGATAACGAAGGCTGTCAAAATGAATGTCAAGTAAAACGTCCTTGAAATCATGTACCTGAGATGAGATATTACGACATTCATATTAAACAAACATTAATTTATCGTCAAAGTTTATGCAGGTGTTTCGAAGATGCTCAACCAAATGATGGGTATCGTATTGAAAGCCTGAGATGTTAGTCATACGATATACATATAAAACCTGTAACATGTTGAAACCGTGGATGGCACACCTTTCTAAGCGATATGCCTCGTTGCTCCATGAAGGTTTTTAGCCAAATACTTTAACTGGTTCCCTAACCTTGAAGGGAATCATCTGCTTGTAATCTCCGGGGATGATATATTCACTTGAGTAAAATATAATGCCTTAAGAATGATCATTTATGGTCAATATGCAATTTCTGTAAACACTGAACGTTAAAAAATGCCCAGGTGTACCATCGACCTTGACTTTGGTTTGGATTTGGCCTTCCATGTAAAAACAAACCGACTGGAAATTATGAATAAATGGTTCTACCAACAGTATACCAGATGCATCCCTACCGAGCCAATATAACTGAAATGTTTCTTACGAAAGTTGGCAGCCAGGTGAAATGTTTGATGTTTGACGTCGAGGTAGACTATCGCTCCAAATGCGAGTGTGGTGTCACAACCGCCCGCGGAGAGACGGGATGCTATGAAGACTCCGTCTGGAACCCCGGAGACCGCCGGAACGCGGAAGTCAACCTCCAGGTAGATATCCGTCCTGGGAATACAATTAATGTGAAACAAATCGGCCTGCAGGGATGTTTTCAGCCTGGAGAGAGGCATGTGAGTGAGTTAGGTCGACGTGACGAGCATGTTGGCCTGTCTTCGTACCGTCGCTTGTCAACATATCCCATACCATGACCTTTACATGGAGCTGTCACATCTCATTATTTAGTATTTTAGGAAGATTGTGTGAGTGGCAAATGCTACCGGCATTACTGATTTTCAGTGTTCTATTCAAACAATTGTCATCACTATTTTACCTTTTACGACCAATGAAATATGTTTTGGCAGACATTAGACATTATTTTCTGACATTAACGTTTCGAATGGACAACCAACAAAGCAAATTCTCCTGTATGAGTGACGAGCCTGTAGGCCTGTCTTACAACATACCACGTAATATCCCCAATGATAGTGACCGGCCTGTCTGTCCAGTCAGCTGTGCACCAGCTGACCGGTCGTTGTGTGGTTTCCTGTCTCATGACGTTCCCATGGTCAGCGTCAGCTTTCACAACCTCGAACGCTCCTATTTGCTGGGAGAAGAGAAATGGTTCTTCGCCAACTTCGTAACCTGGTGATTTTTATTAAAATAATATTAATGTTGGCAACTATAAATCATTTTCTTTTTAACATGGCTGAGCACCTATATTTTATTGCAATATTACACAGATTATATTGATGTCTAAACCAGAATTAAAGAATTAATGGGCCCGACAGGATGAAAAGAAAGTCAATGAAACATGAATTACCTCCTTGATATGGACGATAAGGTCACAGTGAAATCGTCCGAACATACGTTAACCAAATTCAAAGGACGTTATTTATGTATACAGATATCCCCACAGGTAACCGTCCGGTATGCGGGGTTTGTGGGCTAACGAGGGTTCACGGTATTGTCATACAACTACTTTTACGTGTATATGTTTACAAAATGTTGATAAAGACTTATAAGCAAAAAGAAATATAAACATAACAGTGAAATCATCAAAGGAAACCATAATCGTACAGCACCGTTGGAGTATTTTATACAACAGACGACGAAATGTGGCATTCTAACCAGGGGGGACTGTAATGTTATAGGATTCCGTCAGTTGTAGATCAAGGATTGCTGCTCGGCGCGACATGCCACCTGCCATGCATGCCTTTGCGTCCTCGTCGATTTATTAATCATAACTGTCTATAAAGTTAATGTCAAACAATGAATTCATGTTCAAGTAAATTCAACTTTACAACATTAGTTGCATATCTTTGTCCAATCAGAATGAAGCATTTTACATTCTAACGGTAACCAATTGTATGGTACTCTCTGTTAATTCGCTTTTTTTCATGTATACTAACTCACAGACCCGACACCCCCGGTCACACTTGATGATCGATCCCTACCAGTGGCTCTCTCTACAGTAAGATTTATGCCATATGTTTGATCCCAAATGGACAGTTTGTGACCTTGTCACGTCATAGGTAAACAATGACTAAGTAACTATATCTACCATATAGCTATATAGCATATGCATGTACAGAAACTTGTTGTTCCCAAAGCCTGTAGCGATTTTATCCAATTTGGGGTAACCACACTTTGCGGTCTTCTGTGTAAAAAGATACAAATAATGTCTTCTTCACGTTATCTTACTTTCGAAATCCTCCATATATGGAAGTGGGAAAGGCTTGGAAGGTGGTGGCTGGGTGTACGCTCCCTTGTTTCCAGAGGTCAAAGTAGTCAGTGTGTACATTTCATTCACGCCAAGGGCCAGATTCAGCTGTCCATCCACCGTCTATCCAAGAAGACATTTCAGCAAAAATATATTCATTTGAGTTCTCGTTCTTTTATTATACCCTGTTTAAATGTTTTGAATACTCTTCAATTAATATAATGTTACAACCTACCTGCATAAGTGGTTTCTTAATGAAGTATTCGTCTGTCTGCGTGTTGGTGTACCAAACATTAAACTGCGATTTACTTGCCTGTAAGAACACAGCATATTAATAAACATAAGCAAGTAAATCAAAGATATTACTCAAGCAGTCAGGTACAAATAGTATTAAATATCTCGCAATAAATTAAAGACGTTTACATAAAGGATTGGTTGCACAAACCATTGGACGCGTGTGTAATGCGTTATTATTAAAGACTCACTAAGGTTCCCTTGAGTTGGAACGTAACATTCTGGGGTAGACCGGCGTCTTGGTCGTCCATCTGATACAGGAAACATACATGAATGTTGTGTCATTGTTATGTGGCGGTAGATTATTGTAAGTGACAGCAAATGAAAGAGGTCCTCGTAAAATATCGAGTTTTGTCGTGGCCGGATTCCAGGGGTCCGCGGCAGCCGGAGTACTTCAGAGTTATCGGTCTTTGTGTAGCAATGAACAGGACAGCTACATCATTCGAGAAGATTAGTGATGTGATGTTTCTAGAAGGGGGGTTTTACCTATAAAGGAGCGAGATGAGGGCGATTCGAGGCCTTCTACGACCTGACTTGTGTCTTATCTACATGCACAGTGTGGATAGGATACCAATCTAAAGTCCAATTCCTCCCAGCCACTAAAAACGGAACACGTATCTCTTTCAAGTCATTCGACTGTAGCAAATGTTGGATATTCGTAAGTACTCTGACATGTAATATAGGGCCAGTTATTTATTGCTGCTGCCACCTATTTGATACATTATATTTCCTTTTGTGATTGTAATCCTAAACTTGTGTGTTTCAATATCATTTTTCAAATTATTTTATTGATCGTGTGCGGTTATTTACTGCTTTTACACGTTTTTTACCGATTTCCAGGTTTACCTTTGTGTTTCAATTTAGGAATCACATCGTAGTAGCAATATAAAGGCCGATAAGATAACCCTGTCGATGTTGTTTACTTACCCCTCATTTCTGAGAGAGACAGTATATACAGCCACAATACTACGACATAAGTGTACGATACGGGGCAGTCATGGCATCATAATATGGACACTATCATATATGCATTATTGTTCACTTTACAGTATTCAATATAAAAACTTAATGAACTTTAATTTGCATCATTTGTAACAGATTCAGATTTGAAGAATGGCCACCACCAAGTAACCAGAATACCAAACTCACTGTGTAGTAACGAAGTAACAAGCTTATTTTGAACATTTTCTCGAATAGGCACAATCAATATTTGTACAACTACCTTTAAATCACATGTATATTATAGGTGTGTGTGTTTGGGGTTGTTTTTTGGGTTGTTTTTTTTTTTTGGGGGGGGGGGCAGTAAGTCATAAACATTTGTTCCACCCCGTTGACCTGGTCGGTACATTTGATGAAAAGAAGACACTCACCATAGTTTCAATTATGATAGTGACGTCATTTCCTTCTGGACTGACGAGCGTGACGTATGTGCCGCCATATTTGAAAGTTCCAACTCCCGCACCATGACGAAGGTACGTCCATCCGGGCTGTGCAAACTGAGTTGTATGAGCTTAAGTGGGAATATAAAATCAATATGAATAAAATCTCAAAACAAGAATTGGATCAAACTATTTCCTCAGAGATATATGTATGTTTAACATATATGTTAGTGTTTATTCATTTATTGGGTTTTCGACGTATGTCATCTAACATCTGTTCTACATGTAGACATGTAGACCTGAAAGCCCCGGAATGAATTTATCACTCATATTTTATTTGTGACAGTGATTAGAAAATGAATATAATTGGAATATTAAAGTGTAAACGTTGAAGCTTCAACGCTGGATCTGTCAGGACAAACATAAATCGAGCCTGTTAGTCCGTGATGGGGATTTATCAGACATTGATTAATTCATTTTTGTATAGTTTACAAATAAATACAATAATATTCGTTTGAATCGACAGTTTAAAACTAGAATATCATTAACATGTGGACTACAATACACGATCCCCCAAAGGAGTGAGTGAGTGACTTTAACGCCGCTTTTAACATTATTCCAGTTATATCACGGCGTGTAAACCTAATGTGGGAGGAAACCCCGAAGTGATGCAGGTCTCAGACGTTTACCACTTGGGTGAAACCCACGAGCACGGGTATGGTGCTGACAAACCTAGAAACATAATCAGGGCGAACCGAGATTCGAATCCACAATCATAGGTTTCTTACGTGCCCAAGGGACGCAACTCCGCACAGCGAATCACGGCGCCTAACACGACTGGGACACTCCACCAAAGGACAAATCGTCATAAATTAAACTGTTTTCAGTGTTTCAGAATACAAATGTCTGCTTTTATAATTATAGTGCGAGTTGTGTGTACCTGCAACCCATATTGTTTTAGGTTTTGGGTAGTACCCGCTCCATGGTTCGGATGCTGTCATTAGCCCATCGGGGTAGTAAGGTAGTCCTTGATAGTAGCTGGCGATCAATGGCCATGCAATTGTACTGAAACAAATATATGATCATTTGTCTGTATTCAATGATTTATGGTAGACAGGTGGAGGCCATTTTCAAATTTGACGCATCAGTGACAAAAAATATGTCCGATGCAATTCTTTATTTTCACTTGTACCATATGTTCCCGTGGGTTTTTTCAGGTGAACACTTGACTTGCCTTCGACAGATGCCACAGGTGGGGTTGGATACGCTCACCTTTTCGCGAAAATCTGTTATCATCACTATTTGATAGTTGTTCATAAATACAGTCAGTTGTTCATGGTACAATCGGAATCGACTCTGATTTTGGCAGAGCTTTTCTTTATGAATATGGAAAGCGGTTTGAAGGTTATATTTATGTTAAATATTTGATTTGCGTTTCCATGACCACATTTCTATTCAATAACCTATTCATATGTTATACACACATAAACATAAGACTACATGTGCCTTTTCATGTTAACAGGGTCTAAATGGTACACATTAATAAGTATATCCTGCAAATATTCAGATTTTAACGTTTAGAAAACGTCAACAATTTCTTACCCTGTCATGTTCCCATGGACATAGTTCCTGTTCCAGTTCTATAAATAGAAAAATACTTTCAAGGATTAATCGTCCCAAGTGAATTCAGTTTGTTTACAAGGGACGGATAAGTTGTATTATTGTAAACTAGTACTGACTGCTATGTTGGCACTAATGGTGAAAGCTTCACCCCGATGTTTACCCAGAGCAGCATGATAAGTCGACGCACTACACTGCAATACAAATTGTTACAGGGATCATGCCAATTCAGGGAATATGTATATTTGTGTAGGGAATATATGTAATATATCTGAATGTAATAATGAACATATGTTTATATAAAATGAATATATGTAAAGTCTGATTCACGCAGGGAATATACATAAGCCCTCACATTTTCAGGTATTACACATATTCCCTGAATTAACAAGTATTTTAGACATATTCCCTGATTCATTCATGGTTGTTGGAAGAATTGTTCTCTCTGGTATCAATAAAGCAATGTTAATGAGTTTACGAGTGAGACAAGATTTATTTGACAAATCATACCGTATAGACTTATCATACATCAGTACCAACTAATTCAAACGCAATAATGTTACTCTAGCAGTAAGACGCGAGTTACCAATATGAGACTAATAATGTCTCTCTTGTTAAGTTTCTATTGACGCATGTCAGACTTGAATGGCACAGGAGTTACACAGTAGCTTAGCCTTGAAACATCTATACCTGTTGGTCTCGCATTTCTTGGAACCGGCATAGTTACATTATGTGACAGCTTGGGCTCAGTAGTTGGATTCCAACTGCAGAGCCTGGCGAAGTGTAATGTTCTTGTCGGTAACAAGTAACAATTGCACAGGGCACTTGCGCACAAACATCAAAATGGTTCCACCTTTCACAGCAATAGTGTACAAGCCATTGTCGCTGCATTCCATCACAACATGTTTTATGTTTCTGGAAACAGAACGGCCCGGGTCAATTCGGGGAATTTGCACTGTTACATTGTCACCAATTGCAAGTTTCACTGCTGATAAAACACGGTTACTGCGCTTCACCATTCATTCAGCTTGCTGCATGTGTGCATGGTTTGCTTGGTGAAGATAGTACTGGCTAGAGGTCTTCTTGGGAGTGCCCGTGGCTTCTTAAATCTCGCCTATGATTTTGCTCTACTCTTTGTTAGGTACACACGTTTGTTCTCATCAAAGTTCAAGTTCTTTCCGAAATTCTCCTCCAATTACATTTTGGAAATAGTACATTCTATCAGCAACTTTATAACTGGAATATCGCCACAAGTATGGGTTGTTTTACTTACCTTTTGCTTAGAAAGCTCATTTAACATTTGTTATATTGACACTATAATCATACTTCTTTTCCCAACTATGAATTAAACACACCAACCAATGAGTTTACAGTATTTTTACTGTTAACTCCGTGAACATCATGATCATAATGATCATGTGTTGTTACAACAATTTTAGTGTTCTCGGTTGGTCACGCCTTTTTTATTTTTTTATGAACCAGGCAACAAACATGTGCATATATACCTTTTCTATTTAACAATCTAACTCTTTAACAATGTCATGATGATACTTGAGAAATTACTTCTTCTAACAACCATGAATGAAATATTTTCAGGGAATATTTCTAAAACAATCATTGTCAAATCAAGGAATTTGTCTAATTATACCTAAAAATGTCAGGGATTATACATATTCCCTGATTTGACATATTCCCTGATTTAACATATACCCTGATTTGACATATTCCGTGATTTGAATATTCCCTGATTTGATATACTCCCTGATTTGACATAATCCCTGATTTGACATGGAAGAGCACGCAAGGGCATATTAATCCGTACCCATCATTCAGTAATCGGGTACCCTGTTAATAAGGACGGTTTTACTGGGAACGAGCTGTCCGGGTAAACGGGGTGTTACTGTGTGAACAATGATTTGCGATAAGGTTCAAGTATCACCACTAATGTCTGATCCTCCGATGCCCAGAGACGCTTGCCTGTCTTCACTGCCGTCGGTGTGCTGGTTGTCTTGGGGTAATGCGAGCTGAATTGACATCATCATCATCATCATCATCATCATCATAATAATGATGCGAAGACAAAAGGATGGAATTTTAAATATAACTCAATATTAAGTTATTGGGGTCGTTATTAGTTAATCAAATTGTATAACTATAAACACTATAAGAGACTGTGAAACGTCAGCGCCAGAGAAAAATCAGTCTCGATCATTGATTGACAATGATTGACACCTTGAGCATCGAACTACGCAATCAAGTCACCGTCTCTTACGACCAGCATGGATCAAGCTTGGTAAACGGGTGGTCAATAGCATAAGCTATCGGTGTACGATGACACAAATCAGCCAGGTCACTCATTGCAACAAGCCTGGTCTTCGTACAAGCAGAGGATGCTGGGAACCAAGGATGGCCCAGAATCATAACGGGGTGGATTTGAGGGAAGAACAACATCACATAGCGACAAACAAACATTAACCGTTCATGCAAATTGTGTGAGTGGCTGGTGCTACCGGCAGGGCAGGTTCATGCTTACCCTTTTCGCGAACACCTGGTCTCATCTCTGGTTTTCCTTGATACAATCACATGCTTATATTTACTTAATTTCTTTGCTAACCTGATTCAATTGCTACATACAGGTGCCGGTGACTTAGCTGGGGTTATTGTTGACTGCAGCAGAACAAGTGTGGTCATTCCCACTGTGACAACTACACGCACCCTATAGCATACACCGCCTGTGCAAGTTCCGAGTCAGCAAGGATGTCCTCGGCTATATCCCAGTGGAAATTGTCTGGCGCAATGATATGAGTGTCTACTAGACCGTGTCTGTCTAGTGTCTTCCTCAACGTCTGCAACGTACAGACATATGGTTAAAAAGACCCTCAGATTAGCGACAAGTCGACCTCTAGCTTACGAATCACAGTAACTCAAACATTTACAATATACGAACTTGTCTGGCGGTGCCAGGCCTGTACTTACCTTTATGTAGGTGACGTTATACATTCTCTCATTCCAAATCTGTAAAGGATGATTTGAAACCAAGGTCACTAAGGTTCTCACTACACATGTAAAGTGTTGTTTTTAAAACAAACCATTACCAGATAGAAAGTGTTACATTTGTAAGGTGTGTTGGAAATTGACTCTTGTACGCCAGTCCTGATACCCTGTGTCTGAACAGAACAGAATATCGTATACTGAAACACTGTGAAAATGCATATTCGAGTATTTGTAATATTTGGCAATATGATCACAAAAGTCAGATTCGTACGTCTGGGTATTAAGGCATGAGATAATCAAACGTACGGGTTCGAATCTCGTTCGATGTGTTTTTTGGGATGAGCACAAAAACACATATTTTCTGATTTCAAGTTAAAGTTGATTATGCGTTTTCAATGTTTCAGTATAGACGATTCAAAGTAACAACATCCTGAATAGATTAGTGTGGACCGGTGATCCAACCATTAACAAATGCACGGGTAGGCCAGTGGTCTAAGGTTTCCCTTCTTTGTGACACCCCTTTATCGTCTTATCATGATCCTAGGTCAGCACGGCATAACCCTGCCCGTGGGATCCAAGAGATGATGTCTACGATATGCGAGGGTGCCAACCCCCTTTTCAGTAAGCTGGATACCAAACCCTGTTGAGAGGCATTCCGGATTCTAGTACGCTGGATGCCATGAAATGTCTATCTTGTACGTGGATGCCAATGTTTCAATGTTGATTTTTTTTTTCTTACAAAGAATGATAAAACAATAGAATATATTTAGCCCTGTGGCAGTCTAAATTCATTGTACCGGCTGAGTACACTGATATGACACATGAGTTCTTAAATTGGATGCCAATGCAAATTAAGTGATATGCTGGATGCCTATAGAGGAGGGTTTGGCACTTTAGACTTTTACGTTCAGCTTTCGTGATATATAAGTGATCAACTGTCAAATAACTGACAGTGTTAAAGGCCACGTAAAGCCCTATCCAAATACCCACTTTAACAGGTAACAACTACCCTGCTTTCCCATACAGCTAATTATTATCAGTTATGTTAAAAAATCGATTATATGAACAATACATATGACACTCCGGAACTCACCCCCACATAGTCTATATGTAGCCCGTGGGTAGTGTTAGCTCCCAGAACCCAGTTGACGATGTACGTGGCGGTCTGGTCCGGGGTGTCGTACAGGTTCCACCCCACCCAGCCAGGCCACCCCCAGGGCAGACCGTACAACTTGATGGACGGGTTCCTCTAGAAATACACATGCAGAATTATTGTTAAACATTATATTTACTGACGATTAAACACTTTTTTTAAATAGTGTGTGTGTGTGTGTGTGTGTGTGGAGGGGGGGTGTCACGAGTTGGAGGATTTATATCTAAATGTTTGCGTGCGTCTGTGTTTATATGGCACCACAACGATAAACATACGGATGTTTAATTTGTTTTTAAAACATAACAATATTGTTATTATTCCATAGCATGGATTTACATATTCATCATTTGTATCACATTAAGCCAAAACTATAGCAAAGGCACTAACCTGTTTGGCCTCTTTCATCAACCACCATTCATATCCCCTGGTGTAGTTCTCATCCTTGGCTGTCCGCATGTGGGTTGCCTCCGTCCCGTCTGATGGAGGGGGCATGGAGAAGACAAGATGGCAACCACAATGTAATGACATCCGCATCACATTCATTAACCTTTTTCCATTAACGTAATCAAACTTGGACCTTTTTTGGATACATGCGTATTAATTAAAGGCCTGTTTAATTTCCCCCTTGGCTAACAAAACGATAGACCTTGCAACCCATGTAACCAAGTAATTATGTCCTCCGAACTGTGTGTGCCTTATAAACATGAATAAAGGCGCCTGAATACTTCCATATCACAAGAAATCTCCACTCAAAGCAGAGTCCTTTGTACGATTCCGACTGTCGTAATAATGTGTTTTATAGATTTATAACCTTCCAGACATATATTAATACCCTCCCCTAACAGGTCCAGTTGTTTTTGAAATAGTCATAGCGAACAAGAATATTTATATCATTAGTGTCCTTACAATATAGACCATGTGTCTTGCATGTTGCATTTACCGTTATTTCATACTACTTACCTGAACTCTGAGCATCGGACCCGATTTCCACTTTCAGTATATCTAAGGAGGCTCCGTAATTAGGCTGTGAAAAAGAATAAAATAATTGTTTACTTACCATTTCAAAGTTTTAAAAAAGGACAAAATAATTGTTTACTTACCATTTTAAAGTTTTAAAAAAGGACAAAATAATTGTTTACTTACCATTTTAAAGTTAATGACTCAGTTTATATTCATATGCAGCTGTTTAAAAACCGGGAAAAACATCAGGTATTATTTTTTTTCAAAACCCAATGTCCATACCTTGAACAGCAAATCCAGAATATCATTTCGCAGTTTCTCGGGGTAGTTTACCAATAACTTGGAAGTTGCCTGAAAAAACGAAATAATAATTTACTATAAACATTAGGCAACGACACTACCGATGAGCAAAGTCATTACGAATTGGCAAAAGTGATATTGTGTGACTGTTAATTGAGGTGACGTGAGGCGAAATGGGGTTTAACATCGCGTCCAAGATTATTGCACTTATATAGCGACGTGCATACACGTGCGTGTGTGTATGTGTGTGTGTGGCTGCTTGTACTAGTCCGGACTAATGCCGAGTTTGTAGTGCTAGCCCACTGAGACATCTTGCCGCAGTTTAACATGAATACCCTACTCATACACAGTATACTGACTCCGAGCCGACCAGTCCTTGTTTTAGTCCGTTAATGCCGAGCGCCAGACAGGGTAACAACAAGTACCATCGTTTAACGTCTTTTGATATGACTCGGCCGGGCATCGAACCAGAGACCTTACGCTCTCCGGGTAGACGTCCTACCACTAGACCACGGAGACTGCCTTACTGTTAAGTATCTATAGATTAAAGTACTTTTTAGAAAGACTACAACTATTTTGGACCTGGCCATCTAATATATAGGTATGTACTGAGAATGATATATTCGTGATATCCTATGCTCCCAGACCCTGAATATATACACATTATGTGCTTGAACTGCAACATGTCGGAGTCAGCATATACTTCCTTTCACAGTTTACATGCAGTCAATCAATATAAAGGATATACACACAGAGAGGTGGGTTTAACAACTCGTTGAACAGTATTTGTATCTATGACGACGAGTCATGTTACTTGTTCTTTGTTTCTGTTATACTTTCTGCTAATTCTGGTCCCGCATTTTTAGAATTAATTTCCCATTACCATTATTGCTCTTCTTTGCGTAACCAGTTCTGACCAGTTGCAAATCAGGAACATCTATATATCATTGTTATCATGTAAGTCAGATTGTGAAATGTAATTGCTGTGAAAACTTAGGCTGGGGTGGTAGGGAAATCGAAATCGAACTGAAGATGACACATCCCCCCTGCCCCTATAATAGCACCAGGCACAACTTCAGGCCCATTTCATTCAAGTTTCGATGAAATATCTTTCACGGTTTTCAAGTTATGCTCCGGAAACGAAATACAGACAGACCAGATGGGGACTATATACCCTCGCATTTTATGCCGGGGATAAAAAATAGTTAAAACTCAACCTACATTTTTTTAAGTGTCACATTTATGTGTATGCATACGAATCATGAATGTTAGCAACTCACTTCAATGGTAAAAAAACACTCTTGTATTGTTCAGTTTTTTTATACATGGTCTCAAGGCCTTTTACAGATACAGAGTTGATTGATGTCGGTGATGAAGATAACACTGAAAGCAATGAAGGTGAATATCCAGATATCACTCCACATCACATGATCATCCTGGATTCACAACGCCCGGAAACATGTATAACTAACATACTCACGTTCAAAAAAGCAAATAGTGAAGATGGTATCAGGCCTTTATATTCAAGGTTGAGAAGATGAGCCTTCAGTATATAAAGCAATGCAGGTTCCGCGCTGGGTGCAATCACATAGCCCTGTAGCCCGGAACATGTATAGCGTAGCCTAGTCACATGCCATGATAAACAACATACGACAACATTTCAACTTACCCCTCCACCGCTGATAGCCCCAAATCCATCGAACTGCCTCCCCAGTCCTCCAGTGTTGTCGATTACATAACTGTCACTCAACACTGACAGCACGACGGAGAATGAAACCGCCAAGGTGAACATGATCGACGCGAAATCGACACCGCATCAGCTGACAGTGACCTAGATGATACGGAAGTTATGTGCGAGCCGAGTCTCACAGACGCGCTGGAACACCTGGTATCATAGGTTGTTTAATTACTATACAAAATAAAGAAATCATCAAATGGATATCAGTGTCATCGGTGCTGTTAAATTGTTTGCAAAAGGGGTTCAATAAAATTCTAACTGAGGGTCGTGGGTGTCCACCTACATGGCCTGTACAAATTAGATGCTTACATAAACAGTTTGCAAATAATGTCGCGTTCGCACACAGACTGGCTGTTGACATATGTTCTAGTTTTGTATAAAGGGGCGGTGGGCTAGCGTATAATGATTAACGCGTTCGCTCGTCACGTCGATGTAGCCCGACTTCTCTTTCCCACCCTTGATACAATGTGTACAATGGAAAACACCGGCAACATGCTGTTACGTGAGTTTATTGTTTAACGCCGCACTCAGTAATATTCCAGTTATATGACGGCGGTCTGTAAATAATCGGGTCTGGACCAGACAATCCAGTGATTAATATGAGCATCGATCCAAGCAATTGGGATCGATGACATGCATCAACCAAGTCAGTGAGCCTGACCACTCGATCCCGTTAGTCGTCTTTTACGGCAAGCATTGTCGCCTTTCACGGCAAGCATGGGTTGCTGAAGAACTGTCCTACCCCGGGTCTTCACGGGTCCTGTTACATGAGTGGTTGAGTTGGGGTTTTAAGTGAATAAGACTCAACCCGAGTGAGTAATAGTGAATGTTCTTTTACACCGATATTATTTCATAGCTGAAGGATCTCGGCATGGCATCACCAATGCCTAACCACATGGGGAATCGAACCAGTGCATTCGACCTGACTATTGCATGAATCAAACACTAATCCTCTGTATTCATCAGCAACGCTCGGGGTCGACCGTGTTCCTACACCACAACGTCCCCTGCAAGGCGTCTTGTGTGTAGGCGCAGGTGCATGTAGTGTATAGCTATTGTCGTATAAAATCTGACCATAGAAGCCTGCATGTTTGGTGAACTGGTTTGCATGTTTGTCAGTGTGTAAATCACTGGTTGTCACGGCTATAACGCCTGCATGTTGGGTGAACTGGTTTGCATGTTTGTCAGTGTGTAAATCACTGGTTGTCACGGCTATAACGCCTGCATGTTGGGTGAACTGGTTTGCATGTTTGTCAGTGTGTAAATCACTGGTTGTAACGGTTATAACACCTGCATGTTGGGTGAACTGGTTTGCATGTTTGTCAGTGTGTAAATCACTGGTTGTCACGGTTATAACACCTGCATGTTGGGTGAACTGGTTTGCATGTTTGTCAGTGTGTAAATCACTGGTTGTCACGGTTATAACACCTGCATGTTGGGTGAACTGGTTTGCATGTTTGTCAGTGTGTAAATCACTGGTTGTCACGGTTATAACGCCTGCATGTTGGGTGAACTGGTTTGCGTGTTTGTCAGTGTGTAAATCACTGGTTGTCACGGCTATAACGCCTGCATGTTGGGTGAACTGGTTTGCGTGTTTGTCAGTGTGTAAATCACTGGTTGTAACGGTTATAACACCTGCATGTTGGGTGAACTGGTTTGCGTGTTTGTCAGTGTGTAAATCACTGGTTGTCACGGTTATAACACCTGCATGTTGGGTGAACTGGTTTGCGTGTTTGTCAGTGTGTAAATCACTGGTTGTCACGGTTATAACACCTGCATGTTGGGTGAACTGGTTTGCATGTTTGTCAGTGTGTAAATCACTGGTTGTCACGGCTATAACGCCTGCATGTTGGGTGAACTGGTTTGCATCTTTGTCAGTGTGTAAATCACTGGTTGTAACGGGGTTAACGCCTGCATGTTGGGTGAACTGGTTTGCATGTTTGTCAGTGTGTAAATCACTGGTTGTCACGGCTATAACGCCTGCATGTTGGGTGAACTGGTTTGCATGTTTGTCAGTGTGTAAATCACTGGTTGTCACGGTTATAACACCTGCATGTTGGGTGAACTGGTTTGCATGTTTGTCAGTGTGTAAATCACTGGTTGTCACGGTTATAACACCTGCATGTTGGGTGAACTGGTTTGCATGTTTGTCAGTGTGTAAATCACTGGTTGTCACGGTTACAACACCTGCATGTTGGGTGAACTGGTTTGCATGTTTGTCAGTGTGTAAATCACTGGTTGTCACGGCTATAACGCCTGCATGTTGGGTGAACTGGTTTGCGTGTTTGTCAGTGTGTAAATCACTGGTTGTAACGGTTATAACACCTGCATGTTGGGTGAACTGGTTTGCATGTTTGTCAGTGTGTAAATCACTGGTTGTCACGGTTATAACACCTGCATGTTGGGTGAACTGGTTTGCGTGTTTGTCAGTTTGTAAAACACTGGTTGTCACGGTTATAACTCCTGCATGTTGGGTGAACTGGTTTGCATGTTTGTCAGTGTGTAAATCACTGGTTGTCACGGCTATAACGCCTGCATGTTGGGTGAACTGGTTTGCGTGTTTGTCAGTGTGTAAATCACTGGTTGTCACGGTTATAACACCTGCATGTTGGGTGAACTGGTTTGCATGTTTGTCAGTGTGTAAATCACTGGTTGTCACGGCTATAACGCCTGCATGTTGGGTGAACTGGTTTGCGTGTTTGTCAGTGTGTAAATCACTGGTTGTCACGGTTATAACACCTGCATGTTGGGTGAACTGGTTTGCGTGTTTGTCAGTGTGTAAGTCACTGGTTGTCACGGCTATAACGCCTGCATGTTGGGTGAACTGGTTTGCGTGTTTGTCAGTGTGTAAATCACTGGTTGTAACGGTTATAACGCCTGCATGTTGGGTGAACTGGTTTGCATGTTTGTCAGTGTGTAAATCACTGGTTGTCACGGCTATAACACCTGCATGTTGGGTGAACTGGTTTGCGTGTTTGTCAGTGTGTAAATCACTGGTCGTCACGGTTATAACACCTGCATGTTGGGTGAACTGGTTTGCATGTTTGTCAGTGTGTAAATCACTGGTTGTCACGGTTATAACACCTGCATGTTGGGTGAACTGGTTTGCGTGTTTGTCAGTGTGTAAATCACTGGTTGTCACGGCTATAACGCCTGCATGTTGGGTGAACTGGTTTGCATGTTTGTCAGTGTGTAAATCACTGGTTGTAACGGTTATAACACCTGCATGTTGGGTGAACTGGTTTGCGTGTTTGTCAGTGTGTAAATCACTGGTTGTCACGGTTATAACACCTGCATGTTGGGTGAACTGGTTTGCGTGTTTGTCAGTGTGTAAATCACTGGTTGTCACGGTTATAACACCTGCATGTTGGGTGAACTGGTTTGCATGTTTGTCAGTGTGTAAATCACTGGTTGTCACGGCTATAACGCCTGCATGTTGGGTGAACTGGTTTGCATGTTTGTCAGTGTGTAAATCACTGGTTCTAACGGGGTTAACGCCTGCATGTTGGGTGAACTGGTTTGCATGTTTGTCAGTGTGTAAATCACTGGTTGTCACGGCTATAACGCCTGCATGTTGGGTGAACTGGTTTGCATGTTTGTCAGTGTGTAAATCACTGGTTGTCACGGTTATAACACCTGCATGTTGGGTGAACTGGTTTGCATGTTTGTCAGTGTGTAAATCACTGGTTGTCACGGTTATAACACCTGCATGTTGGGTGAACTGGTTTGCATGTTTGTCAGTGTGTAAATCACTGGTTCTAACGGGGTTAACGCCTGCATGTTGGGTGAACTGGTTTGCATGTTTGTCAGTGTGTAAATCACTGGTTGTCACGGCTATAACGCCTGCATGTTGGGTGAACTGGTTTGCATGTTTGTCAGTGTGTAAATCACTGGTTGTCACGGTTACAACACCTGCATGTTGGGTGAACTGGTTTGCATGTTTGTCAGTGTGTAAATCACTGGTTGTCACGGGGTTAACGCCTGCATGTTGGGTGAACTGGTTTGCGTGTTTGTCAGTGTGTAAATCACTGGTTGTCACGGCTATAACGCCTGCATGTTGGGTGAACTGGTTTGCATGTTTGTCAGTCTGTAAATCACTGGTTGTCACGGTTATAACACCTGCATGTTGGGTGAACTGGTTTGCATGTTTGTCAGTGTGTAAATCACTGGTTGTCACGGTTATAACACCTGCATGTTGGGTGAACTGGTTTGCATGTTTGTCAGTGTGTAAATCACTGGTTGTCACGGTTACAACACCTGCATGTTGGGTGAACTGGTTTGCATGTTTGTCAGTGTGTAAATCACTGGTTGTCACGGCTATAACGCCTGCATGTTGGGTGAACTGGTTTGCGTGTTTGTCAGTGTGTAAATCACTGGTTGTAACGGTTATAACACCTGCATGTTGGGTGAACTGGTTTGCGTGTTTGTCAGTGTGTAAATCACTGGTTGTCACGGTTATAGCACCTGCATGTTGGGTGAACTGGTTTGCATGTTTGTCAGTGTGTAAATCACTGGTTGTCACGGTTATAACACCTGCATGTTGGGTGAACTGGTTTGCATGTTTGTCAGTGTGTAAATCACTGGTTGTCACGGCTATAACGCCTGCATGTTGGGTGAACTGGTTTGCGTGTTTGTCAGTGTGTAAATCACTGGTTGTCACGGTTATAACACCTGCATGTTGGGTGAACTGGTTTGCATGTTTGTCAGTGTGTAAATCACTGGTTGTCACGGCTATAACACCTGCATGTTGGGTGAACTGGTTTGCGTGTTTGTCAGTGTGTAAATCACTGGTTGTAACGGTTATAACACCTGCATGTTGGGTGAACTGGTTTGCGTGTTTGTCAGTGTGTAAATCACTGGTTGTCACGGTTATAACACCTGCATGTTGGGTGAACTGGTTTGCGTGTTTGTCAGTGTGTAAATCACTGGTTGTCACGGCTATAACGCCTGCATGTTGGGTGAACTGGTTTGCATGTTTGTCAGTGTGTAAATCACTGGTTCTAACGGGGTTAACGCCTGCATGTTGGGTGAACTGGTTTGCATGTTTGTCAGTGTGTAAATCACTGGTTGTCACGGCTATAACGCCTGCATGTTGGGTGAACTGGTTTGCATGTTTGTCAGTGTGTAAATCACTGGTT